GAACGATCGTCATCATCATCATAATTATCATTATTATTATCATTTATTTTAACTATAGCGTATACGGCTAGCGACGATAAAATCGCTTTTGCGGTCGTGCCCGGCGCAGTGTATGCCGTTGGAATACAGAGCGGATTATTATATATATATATATATAATATTATATGATATTACGACGTTGTGAGTACATTTTTCTCTCCGGTTTTCATTTTCTTAATAACCGTTTAGTCGCTGGGGAATAGGCTGGCGGAGCTCGCGAAATTTAAGATCCCAGCCACAACAATAATAAACGCCGAGTGCAGTATTTTCTCCTCTCTTGGGTGGCGTGTGTTTGCAGGAAGCATCATATTAATAACTGTTCACGCACACACACACACACACACACACACACACACACACACACACACACACACACACACACACTGAAGTCGAGTCGTATCGCGCGATATAAATTAAAATGTCTGCAGAGCCTTCGCACTGCAATACGTGTACAATATAGCATTTACAGTGACGTAAACGAGTAGGCGTGTATTTATGTGTGTTTTGTGCGTGCGGGCGAACGATTGTTGTACGTGCGAGCGCGTAGCGCGTGTGAGTTGGCCTTTCCATTCAAAAAACTGGTGGCATGTAATGAGAATTCTCCGCTCCCTCGTTGACGCCTGTTATGGCCGGCGGCTGTCTCAATATTTATTGCAGTTATATTATACCATCGAAAGTTATAACCCTTTATAAGTGCCAGAGTGAAAAAAAAATGCCCTTGCGAAAACCCGAAGTAACTATAAACTACAATATAAGTATAAGTTGTATTACAAAACACGCAAACCCCCTTTTCTTCTTAAATAATGCAGTTATTCAAAATCCGTTTTTTGGAATCTTCAAATATACTTAATTACCATATTAAAACATTCTTGAGATTTTTCGAACAAACTTGGAGAGGTATAAATACTTCTGTTTTTCAAATGAATACTCTTTCCCCTGTGTCTATCGTAAATTATGTTTTTTTGAAAATATTGATATATTATCAAAATTTGAAAGATTAGTTTTTGATATTCTGAATTTTAAATGGTTTAACAGAAAGACTACTGTTTCAAAATTTTAAGTAGGCACATCAAAGTTATAAAAAAAAATCAGTCAAAATGACGGTTCTCGTATCAAAAACAGAAGTTTGTATTACCACAGGACACAAAAAGTATCATGATAATTTGAAAATATGGCCTTTAATTACTTATGCTGAAAAATTCCGAAAATCAAAATTTGAACAAATTATTACATGAAAAAATTGGGATAAGCGTATTTGGGAATCACTAAGTATATAACGTTATGCTGGACGTACCTATAGTAATCCGTGTTTGATCTTAGCCAATATAGCGAGTCGTTTTATTTGTATTGACTTTATTGTTATTATTGTAAGTACATTGTTATCTTATTATTATAATATATCAGTATTCTATTGTATTTGGTGGACAGATACGGACTTGAGTAGGCGACACCGAGGAAACCCTGAAGGCACTTGCAATATTCACTACCTAAAGCTATTCCGTCAAATATATTATAATATTGTGCATTATACAGAGAGATTTTTTTTTCCTTTGTGGATTCTCGTTATTCACAACGTTTATTAAACTCTAATATAACTATATTGATATCGGATATGCAGAACAACGACCCCTATTTATCTATGTTCTATATATAACCCGAGTATAGACATTAGATAGCTGATGTGGATGTATTAAATTACGAGAAGTTTTTTTTATTTTTTTTTATGAACACTTGTTATTCGAATATATAGGTACGCTCTAAAAATAAAAATGACATCGGCGCCGTAATTCAATACACAGGTTATCGTCTGGAATGGTAAATATATACGTATGTATATAGGTATAACTATTGAGTGTATAGGTTTTTTTATATGGTTGATTATTATTAGTTTTTTAACACTCCTGTTGGCAAGAAAATATCGAATTTCACACAGCTACTATAATAATATAAAACAAATAAATAGTGGTACCTACGAGTGAAATGTTTCGACTTAACAATAAAGTTTATATCTTATTCCGTCGGAATAATTCTAAACTAATCATTATGCTATCGCATTAAATCGATTTATATTATTTTTTCTCCGGCGTCAGAAACGTCTACATCTTAAGCCTTAACTGCCGTTTCTCATGCCAAATCGTAGTAATTCGTTATCGCATACATTTAATATCTTTAAGTTCAAGTTGTATTTTTTTTGTTGTGTCGATAACTGTAAGTGAGTTCTATATGTTATAGAAAACACATTATTGGTAATTATTTGAGGCTATCGCGTTCATTCCGTTGATATATTATGTAGTAGTATTATAATATGTATATATGTTATAGTGTTGGATTTTTATTCAATCGTTGTAGTAAACATTTCGGTTTGATTATATTAAATATAGTTTCAAGTATGCTTGTTTTTAGTCTATAAACGACCACAGCTGATTTTAAAAATTAATATTAACTATTGAACACCCATAATAAATATTATCACGATGCTTGTGCAATTTAAAGTATTTTTTTCATAAGACCGTACCTTGCTGTAGCTGTATATTCTATTAAAATGTATCAATGTATCCATGTAAAAATGATTACCTGCGACGAATATCCGTCAGATTTGATGGCTGATTTGAACACTTTTACTGCGTCCTGGTGTTTTCCGATCGCCGCAAACATTCTGCCCAATCGAAGCACGCACGACTTTTTAGCGGTCACGTGTGACCTAATGTCTTTCACTCTGGAACCGTCCAGACAAAGGCACTTGTTCAACACTGCTTCGGCTTCGGTGTACCGATTAGTAGCTGCCAAACAATCGCCCAGGCTCAGATACGCCACTGCCGTGAACATAATTATTTAAACGTAATTAATAATTGAATAGATTGATTGCAATAATTACCAACTATAATTGCAATCGTCTATATTTATTATCATTAATTTATACGGTTGTTGACTGTTGTCGTTAAACCGAAAACAAAATATAATATATTTTATACTATAGATCGGATTATATTTACACGCTAATGTAGGTCTGAAATTGATCGCCGACCTGTAGCTCAAAATTGCTTCGTCATAATTTTTGTTGTTCCGTAACAGATTTCCACTGTAACACATAATAAATTGAAACGGTTTAAAATTGAAACCACTTTGGATTTTTTTTTACATAAATGGTAAATAATATAGTATACTGCATATACCATATACCTACTATATACATATATAATATATATATATATATAGCTATTATATAGTGGGGACATTGTTGCACGTTAGACGATAATGTATAATGGAATTATTTTATTTTATTTGCATACGCCCGACGCCACGCTGTGAATATAATAGTGGTCTACATAATAGTATTAGATATTTTATTATATGACTCAGATAATATTATACACTTATCGGCGGCAATGGCGGCGCCGCAGTTTCGTTTATATTTTTCGGTTTTGACTCGTAATTATTTATAAACGTTTTATATCGCGCGGATCGCTGCTGTAGTAACGTCGTCTAAGGGGGTTGGCAATTAATTATTTCAATTAATTTTCAGAAACATATTAGTCTCTGAACCGAGAGAATGTTACCATAAATTGTGTTAATAGTGTACCCCCAACCGTCTCCGTACATCCACGGTGTCGGCAGGGTAGGCGAAAAATAGGGACCGAATGGCATCTCTCGAAAACGTGACAGGCAGTTTGTTTTTGGACTAGTGGGGTAAAATAATAATGAAAAAAAAACACTCACGAGGGCGCGAGAGAGAGAAACAGATAGATACAGTGAGGGAGAACGAGAGAGGAAGAGAGAAGTGTGCGGTTGTCTGTCGCTGACAGAGGAGCTTCTCTACTCATCTACTCTTTCTAGTGGTCGGTAGCGGATTCTCCAAGAGGCTACATACCATAATATATGTGGTATTATATATATATAATAATATGTAGTGTGGTTTTCGACAAAAAAATATACATTTTTTTTCTTCTTTCCACACCCACACACCACTGAAAACAAACGACGCTCCTGAGAACCTGTCAACCAAACGAAGCCACCGCCGCCGTCCCTCCCGAAGGTCGATACTATATATTGCAGCCATCACTACTCCTAACCACCAATATTATTAAATTATTACTGCAGTATACAGTGGTGGATGTATAGGCACAAAGTACTACAAGTATAAAGTATAATGTGTTTTTGCGGACATCCCTGTATAGTCGTTTATATAATATTATATAGAAAGTGGAAATTATATGATATCCTTCTCGAGTACTTGTGTATAATAATATTACGTATACACACCCGTTTTTCTCGAGTAGGGTTCAGCATAGATGTATACCTTTATAAACGATATTATACGGTGGATGCGGCCCACGGCACTTATTATAAGAGCTTCGAGATTCACACAGTACTCCCTTAAGAGTGTCAAAAAGACAAAATATAAAATAATAATGACATCATCGTCGTTGTAGTATTAGTCATAGTTATACTAAAATATTGTACAGGTACATGTTGTATGACGCATACGTCGTGTATACACATCATAATATATGGATTGAGGTTTTTGGTATGACACTACACTTATAACAAACAAACAAGAATATTATGGTGAAAACGATTCGGATATGATCGATACGGATCATTCGAAATCTGTTGCAAATTGTTGCATGCCGTGTACAACTCGGACGGACACGAGATAAGACCCAACTCTGGATACAGCTGGCTAGGACCTAGGATCATCATATTATATGATTGGATCTGAAAATCCGATGTCCACGTGGCTTAGTCTAAGCTCCTCGACTATAATACTTTAATTTAACGTAGCTTGCTACCGCCGGCAGTTGTACATTATAAGGTACCTCCCTATAACGGTATTATTACTTGCCAAGCGTAACGTTTAATAAAGATATATCGACGTAATTTCAGTATACACACCGTATTAGTGTTTCTATTAAACGAGCGAAATCACGCGGTATTAGCTGCACCTAAATAACGGCAAGTTGTTTATATAGTTACGACCGCCGTACGCGCGTTATTAATCGGTGCACATAAAGACATCCAATTTTCGCTTATAAAAAAAACAACGAACGCCTTTCATCAAGGACATTATTTAAACAGTTTACACATTGTACATACAAGTATATACTCATATATATATATATATGTATGTATAGTTATAATGTTATATGTTACCGTAATACAATACGATATATTATTATTTTATACGTACATACAGGCACATTGTGCACAAAGTTCGTTTACATTAAAGTCACAATATATATTATATGTAGAGCTATAATTATAATTTATAGGTATCCACGGGGTCAAGTTATACGTTTTCGCTGCATAAAAGTAATTATTATTACATCGCACCCGACACTATACGTAAGTCCACTAAGGTAAACATATGGGTTACTATAATTATAACAACTATGTGTTTTTTTCTTCAAATTATTTATTTTTTAATTCATTTCGACTCATTAAAAAATAAAAATAGCCGAGCTGAGTGAGACCCGTACAATTTACACACGGGGATATTATAATATGTACATAGGAATATAACCGTCAAATGTTAGCGCTCATCTCTTATACATAAACCGCGTTTGTACGTTTGTACCACTTGTCTATGGAGGGCAGCGGCTATAGAGCGACGTTCAGGTCTGGTCACCTTCCAGTGTAAGTTATACCTATACCATATGTATAATCCCTCGTGTTATGCAGTTAACGATAAGTCGTTATGTTCGGGGAGAAAAAGAAAAAAGAAAACGCATCTCCCGGGAAATGAATCCCCCCCCCCGCGTACAAATATAGATGCAAATCATAAAAGCTCGGTGACAATCCGCACAGGTAGCACCCGTCACATGCGCCCACAAAAGCACATCGGGGAAAAAAATTATTATGTAATTTATATGCGCGCGTTTCACCGGTTGGGTTCGGTTAGTCCGTTTTTTTGGGGGTGTTATGAAATTGCAATTACAGTCGACTTACGCGCTTTTCTACACGACGACGACGCCCCCCCCCCCCTCCTCCACCGTCACCAACCGAACACCCACACTCACGTCTTTCCGCCCGGAGAAGTTCGAAGCTGTGCACGTGACACGTACACGTGCAATTTATACGTGTTAGCAACTAGACTGTTGTCGACGGATAAGTTTCTGCCTTAGGAAATTAATTTTCGCCATTTTTTTTCCTGTCGTAACTAACTTCATGTGCAATTTGGGCGTGCGTCGCGGGCCAAACTTTTTTGTTCGTTCGACGATAGTTCTAGAAACGGTGGCTATTTATTTAGTACACTATCAAAAACCCTTTCAAATATGATTTTCGTCCGTAATATTATATCAAAGAGAAAACTTCTTCTTAAAAGGTCTAAAAACACATTGATATGCAAATTTCCCTAATTCGTGTTGCATAATTATATATAGAAAATAACTTATGTACATTGTCCAAAAATTTATATGGAGCAAACTGTTAAAACAAAATACAAATGATACTCACAATTATTTTACTACGTACACACTACACTCGTTAAGTTATTACTAAATGTTGTTGATCTAAATTATAAATTCTACATTTTAACAACTTTTTTTTACAACATGTATTGTAATCATTGATCAACGTAGACGATTCTCTACTCTCAAATAACTTTGTACTGAATTCATTGTTTAAATATTCAATCGATATTTTAACGTTAAAAAAAACATCAAAGCGCAAATTATATGTTTGTGTGTATTAACTATATAATATATTATGTATATGTAACGACATTACCAAAACTCTTAGCTATGAGTTAACCAGTATATATTATTACTTACATTATATTATGTATATGTAACGACAATTTAATAACTCATCCATATATAATACAAATATATTACTATAATGAGTGCATGGTGCATATATCATGTATACAATTAATTGTCGAATAGTTATATAGGTAATGTGGATAATAATGTATATTAATAAAAGCAGTATAGAATTTGAAAAAAATGTAGGAAGGTATACGATATTTTATCAATACTAAACAATAGAAACTCAACGGCTTAACGTGACTTGCTGTATTTTATAAAGGTAATAGAAAAGCATCTTTTATTACGTTTCAAAAATATATCCCCGTCTCACAAGAGTTTCAAGTAGGTAATAAGTATTATTTGCTAGATTCCAATATAAAAGTTTTATTACTGGTGGATAAAAATATAGTTCAAACTATTTATGTATGGTTATTTCGATTAAAATTTCAATACAAGCCCTTGGGATACTGAACAGTAGAATAAGTTTTATTTATTAACTTTAAAATGTATTATATATAGCTTACAGTTTTATTTTTTATCAAGTTTTATAGATATTTCGCATTAAACGCGTTTATATTATACTTATAATTCTTTATGGTTATATTTTTTTACGTACACGTGTAGGTACAACTCTTATAAACTATTTATAATTATAGAACATTTTTGTGTTTTTGAAAAACCATATTTCAAAATATTGTCTTCAAACAGTATTATAAGTCTTAATGATACTATTATATTTTCAAAATAATCAAATTATTATTTTATATGCATATACGATGTATATATTTTTATACAGGTAATACAGGTTATATGTTTTTGGCTGTTTACATTCCGAAGAAGAATTTGTCTGAATATTTATTGTTTACAATCGTTTAAAGTATATATAAGTGATGTTACACCTGTAATGTTGTTTCCCTTAACACTTAGGTAATTGTTTATATCTAATAGTTAAAAAATATTATGTAACACACTTAAAAACTCACAAAGATAAAATTGGTTTATTCGAAAACACATATTACATCAAGTTATTTAGAACATGCATTTTACGAGCAGGAAAAAAATATCTCTTGAAAATGGTTGAAACGAGCTGCTTCGCAAGTTTAACATTTTACAAGTACATAACAATATTACGTAATATCTAATTGTAACAAAACGATATTATAATACTTCTATTTAAATGCAGGAACATAATGTATTACTCAGTATTTTGTTACTCTTATTAATACGTAAGCCTGCACAGTCGGTCTCCTATACGGAATTATGCAATGAATAGTAACAATATTTTATTGAAAATATGACTGAATTTCATGTTTATGCGCGGTACTCCCGATGA